TTCTGCCCCTCACCCTTTTTCTGTGTGTGTGTTTTTTTTTTTTGCATGTGCTTTTTGGTTTATTTTTTGTTTTGTGGTGTTTTCTCCCCATATTCCTTTCTTTTTCTTTCTTTCAATTTTTGATTTTCTTGACATCATTTTTGTTCTCTTTTCTGTCTTCTAATTCTCTTTTCTCTGGTGTAACTTTTATTGAGGTTATAAATGTCTTGTGTATATTCATGTTCTGTTACTTTTGTGTCGTGTATTGTCGTATTGTATTTTGTGCTGTTCAGTCAGCCCCTCCACAATGGTTGTCATGGTGTGATAGGGAGCGATCCACATAATGACACCCTGAGAGGAGACTCCACCAAGTAATGGGCTAATAACATTCAAGACCCAACAACATCAAAAGAACCCAACTATCTCAAGTAGGGGGCATTACTAGATACCCAGCCCAGAAGACCTGAGATACTGCATCACTGTACTGAACAAAACATATACTACATAAGACAAATTCAAAAAATCTGGGTGGCATAGCAGTTTGTTCTAATACATAGAAACAACCACAAAGAAACAGTAGAAATGTGGAGACAAAGAAACAACCCCCATATGAACGAAAATGAGGAATCACTAGAGAAGGAAATAAATTAAATGGAGGCAAGCAATCTGTCAGAGAAAGAATTCAGAGTAATGGTTATAAGGATGCTCAATAGGCTGGATGATAAATTCCCCAACATGTGTAAGAATCAAGGGATGAAGAAAAAAATTCAGGCAAATGGAAATGAAAAAAAAAGCTGGGGTATTAAAATTTATATTTGACAAAATTGGTCTCAAAGTGAAGGCTATAACAAGAGATAAGGAAGGTGAAAGGGCGAGGGCTAGGCCCTCCACCTTGCCCCAGGGTAAGGGCTACGTCCTCCATCTTACCTTGGCCACGTGCTTGGCAAGAGGGTTCTTCCCGGAAGTCTAAGACTCTGCTAGCCACACCCAGGAACAAGACATCGACTTGCGCCTGGCCAATCACAGTCCTTTCTCCTCCCCTTACTCCAACCCCCCCTTTCAAACCCGTCTCTAGGCGGGGTTCTGTCTCTCAGCCACTTGGTTTTGCCGTTGTGTCGGTGAGTCTGGTGGATGGGGAGCTCAAGCTAGCTTGAAATACAGATTCTTATGCTTTTGAATTGGATTGGCTGGCTTCCTGATGTTGTTTCTTGGGAATCTTGAAATCTGGGCATAACAGAAGGCAGCTTCATAATACTAAAGGGATCGATTCAAAAAGAGGACATAACTCTGTTAAACATATATGCACCCAATACAGGAGATCCAAATACATTTAAAAAAAACAAACAAAAAAAAACTTCTGGAAGATATCTAAGGAGAGATATCTAATAGCAATATGATCATTATAGGGGACTTTATTACCCCACTGTCATCTATGGATAAATCCTCTAGACAAAAATTCAGCAAAAAAGACAAACAAAAAAACCCCCACAAAACAAAACGGCAATCCTAAATGACTCACTAGACCACATGAATTTAATTGACATCTTTAGAACATTTCACCCTAAAGCCATGGAACATACATTCTTCAAGTACACATGGGATATTTTCAAAGATAGACCAGCTATTAGGGCACAGGCTAAGTGTCTACAAATTCAAGAATATTGAAATTATACCAAGCATGTTCTCAGATCAGAATGGCATATAATTGGAAATCAATGACAATAAAAACAATAAAAAACAATCAAACAAAAGGAGGCTAAATAGCATGCTATTGAACAATAAATGGGTTATCAAAGAGATCAAAGAAGAAATAGAAAATATCCTAGAAACAAATGAAAATGAAAAAACACAATAAAAAATCTATAGGATACAATGAAAGCAGTCCTGAGAGGGACATTCATAGCACTATAGGCCTACTTAAATGCTGCAGTCTTTTCATAGCAAGGGTTTAGGAATCTGGAGAAGGGGCTGTGACATAAATGGATAGAGATTAGACAAGAAAAATAAATTTGGAAGGCATTGGGGGAACCAGACGGAAACCAGCTCTCTAGTGGAGTGGCTCCCCGAATGTCCAGAACCACAGTTTTTTATTTTGCCCTTTAGCAAAGCAGATATACATATCAAAGGTAAGGTTTGGTAAACAATAAAGGATTATCAGGTTAGGGGAATTGCCCTCAGCTGTTTGGCAGCAGGTAATAATATGCAGATCTTCAGCCTTGCTGAAGATGTCCATCAGCCTTCTGATGAACTTCTCGCATTTATTATGCTAAATACTGTCCTTAGCTCCCAGCATATCCCCCTTTTTTGTTTTAATAAATTTAACAAGAATGTATGCCATCTGCAGAGCTCGAGTCCTTTTAAGATTTTTAAATTCAATTCAAAGGATTGAGTTCTTTTATGTCCTTTTAAATTGCTGCCAGGCATCAAAGGGATCAGTCTGCAGTAAGCTCCTTTATGGGCCAACTGTTCTTTGAGTACCCTTTCCAATTACTGTCCAAAAGGTTTTTTTGTGGGTTTCCTTCTCAGTTACTGTCCAATGGTTTTTTATGGGTTCCCTTCCCAATCACTGTCCCCTGTGACATGACAGCAATGATACTCTAGTTCTGGATGGTGGACAAACGGTGAGCAATGGCAATGCAGGTCTGATCTTCTTTGGCTTGTTTCTGGGCAACCTGTAGAAATGCACAGCTAATGACTGCTGGCATGGCAAGGTGTCTTTACTATCCCCCATCTCTGGACTGTTTCTCCTCTGTCTTGTCAGCATGTTGCTTGGGGCCACAGTCATCTGTGGCTGGAATAGTCTGGTCAGTTTCTCTTTCAGATGCATTGCTGTAGGAATCCACACAGGCTTGGAGTTTTCTGAAAATATATAAGCATATCCCATACCAAAGGTTAATAAAGCAACCTTTCTATAAACTAGACTCGAGATCTTTTCATTTTTCCAAACCATTTTCCTTTGGCTTATTCTGACACCACATGTGTCTTGCTATCAGCATTACAAGTGAAAAAATGTCAAGGTGAAAAGTTTAAAGTAATTAAGGCTTGATGTAATTTACTTACAGATTACTCTACTATCCCCCCTTTTTTGTTTTAAATTGCAAGGAGGACATTTTTTGCTTACTGTACAATATTTTGGCTTTTGACAATCCAGCAATGTAGCCTTAATAGCTTTTAATTCAATTCTTAGTACAGCAGTATTACTGCTCTGAATTCATTGCATGATAAGTAGCTTTACTATGAGATGAACCATCAGTAAAAAATAGTTAATGCTCCAGGAATAGGTTCCTGCCTAGTACAACTAAGTTCCCCTAAATATTTATTTATTTCAATTTACCAATTTAAATCAGTATGAAAGGAGGTTTATTTTCTAACTTCATTTGTCCTTGGGTGTGGACAGTAAATGGTACTAATTGAATTTCTGCTATCAGTCTTTGAGCATAATGACATAACCTTTGTTAAGGAGGCAAAATGCTAATGATTTACTTTTGCTTTCTGAGGCCTAATACATTACCTTTTAATTACAGTTCTTCACATATTTGAAGGAAACCTCCATTTATTTCCTCCCAGAGAACTTTCTAGGCCACATTTAGGAAGTTTCCTTTAAAAATCTTTTTTCTTTCTTTTAAACCAAGCAACACACTTGATTGCTTTTCAGATGCTGGCTCATACTGTCATGCCTATATTTTAAGTGTCTCTTTTTACTTATGGTGACTAATTAATGATTAGATTTAATGCTTGATAATAACCTTTAGTTTACCATGTAAATAGTAGCAGAAGAGATTTAAAAATTTCTTTTTTTTAATTAAGCTTAAAATTTACTTTTGAACAGCATTCTTTTTGTCTAGTACTGATTTGCATACACAGAGGGGTTATAGGAGGTCTCAGGAATGCAAATTTTTACATTGGCCTTTGTGAAACCCAATTGCTTATAAAAATATTTGCTTCTCATATAACAGGTCTTTTACCTCATTAGTTAAGTTTATTTCTAGGTATCAATGGTAAATGGAATTCTTTTTTTAGTTTCTCTTCCTGTGAGTTCATTATTGGTGTATAAAAGTCCCATAGATTTCTGGATGTTAATTTCATATCCTATTAAGTTGCTGAATTTATTTACTAAATCTAATATATTTTTTGCTGTAGTCTTTAGGGTTTTCTATGTACAATATCATGTTATCTGTGAATAATGACAGTTTTTCTTCTTCTTTTCCAATTTGGATACTTTTGATTTCTTCTTCTTGTTTGCTCATTATGGCTAGCACTTCCAGTACTATCTACAATAATAAGAGCATAATATGCTAATTAGATGGGATGTCCTTCTGGACATCCTTTTTTCTTGAGAAAGCCTTAGTGGGTGGAGGCTGAGGTAGAGGTGGCAGAGGCCCCCAGTTGTGGCAGGAGGCAGGGTCCAAGGCAGAGTTGGCTGCCCTGGGGGCAGAGGCCAAGGCCCTTGCACAAATTTTGTGCACTGGACCTCTAGTGTTGAATAAGAGTGGTGAAAGTGGGTATCCCTCTCTTGTTCCTCTTTTTAGAGGAAATGGTTTTAGTATTTTCCCATTGAATATGATGTTGACTGTAGGTTGGTCATATAAGGTGTTTATTATGTTGAGGTATGATCCCTCTATTCCCATTTTGCTGAGAGTTTTTATCAAAAAAGGGTGTTGGATTTTGTCAATTGATTTTTCAGCATCAATTGATATGATCATGTGGCTTTTGCCTTTTAATCTGTAGTTGTCTTTTTTTGTAGTGTCTTTATCTGGTTTTGAGATTAGGGTAATGCTGGCTTCATAAAAAGAGTTTGAAGTGTTCCTTCCTGTTGAATTTTTTGGAATAATCTGAGGATGATCAGTGTTACTTCTTCTTTGCATGTTTGCTAAATGTCCACCATGAAGCCATTGGATCAGGGATTTTGTTTGCTGGAAGTTTTTTTGATTACTGCTTCAATTTCATTGGTAATTATAGGTCTATTCAGGTTTTCTGATTCTTCCTGATTGAGTTTTGGAAGATTGTATTTTTCTAGGAATATGTACATTTTGTCTAGGTTTTTTACCCACCAACTTCTCACTCAGATTGGGGTTGGGGTGACACTCAGAGGAGCCCTTCTTGTGGCTCCATGTCTCATCCTCATCAAATGCCGGTTGAAGTATTACTGGACCACTGTGGTCTCCCATTCATACTGTGAGCACATGGCCATCGTGAAATTGGCAGCAGAAGATACTAGAATCAACAAGATCTATGGTCTGTTTGTGGCTTTCAGTGTACTTGGCTTTGATATAATCTTCATCACAGTATCCTACATTCAAATATTTATAACTGTCTTCAGTCTGCCTCAGAAGGAAGCCAGGCTGAAAGCCTTTAACACCTGCATTGCTCACATTTGTGTCTTCCTTGAGTTTTATCTCCTGGCTTTCTTCTCCTTCTTTACACACAGGTTTGGCTTCCACATTCCACCTTACATTCATATACTTTTGTCCAACCTTTACCTGCTTGTTCCAACTTTGCTCAATATTATTGTTTATGGTGTGAAGACCAAACAGATTCGAAATCGAGCATGCAAAATTTTCCACTCTAAGGATGCTTCCTGACTTTTTTTCTTATTTAATATCATACAAGATGCCTGGTGTATGAAATTTATGCACGGGTTGGGGGGTCCCGTAGCCTGGCCTGCACCCTCTCCAATCTGGCAGTCTGGATAGGGCCTAAACCGACAGTCGGACATCCCTCTCGCAATCCAGGACTTTTGGCTCCTAACTGCCTCTGCCTGCCTGTCTGATTGCCCCTAACTGTGCCCCTGATGGCCTGATTGCCACTAACCACCTCTGCCTGCCTGCCCGCCTGATCTCGCCCCTAACTATTTGCTGCCCCACTGGCCTGATCACCCTTAACTGACTCTGCCTGGGCCCCTGCCAACGTGTCTTTGTCTGGAAGGAAGTCGACATCTGGAAGATGTCTGGTGGATCCAGTCTAATTAGCATATTACCCTTTTATTAGTATAGATAAATAACACTCAGAGAAACCATTATTCTTAGCAAGATTCTGTGCTTTCTCTAGTTCATTGTGTGCAAAAAAAAAATAGTTTGCATTCAAGACACTAAGGCTCTAAATGCTATTTAAACAATTTCAGTTTTTTATGGATAAGTAATTAATTCATCAATAGATGCCATAAGAGACAGAAGAATCATAAAGACTTTTTATTCAGTCAGTGAAATTCTTTCCTCAATCTTTCAGTGAGAAAGGGTTTTAAAAACACACTAAATGTAATTGTTTAGCCTCTGATTCAAAATGTTGTTTGTGGTGTTCTTTAAAAACTGAATAAATCCAGTATGAACTTGAGAATTCTAATGATAATGTACTAACTTCTTTTTGTTTTATTTTGATTTCAGTAATTGCCTTCCTCTTTTTCCTCATTTTTCTTATTTTCGTTGTCATTCAATTGTGTGTGTCTGTGTGTGTGTGTGTGTGTGTGTGACTTACCTTATGGCATTAAAAATTGCTCCACTCTTATCTTGGATATTTCTTGAACTGGACCACAGATATGCTTGGTGCTTGCTACCTTTCTTTATGGTCTCTCTGCTGACAGAGCAAGGAATCTTGTGTGTACGCTAACCTAGGTAAGTGAACATATCAATAAATATTTCTATATATAACCATTTATATCTAAATTCAGCTAATTTTCAGTTCCTATTAATATCTGCCACTTTAATTCATTACCACCTGAACCTTTCTGGACTCTTCTTCTTGATTATCAGTAAATTTCTCCTTCAACAGTGAAACACCATCCTTCAACCATCTGTTAGCCATTTATTTCATTGGTAATTTCCAGTTTAAAGCCCCCTATGATATGATAGTCCTTTCCTCTGTGATAAAAACTTTGTCAACTAGAGTAAAGGGTTTATGGACAGCCCTTTTCCCTTTAGTTCCAACACTCTACTTATTTCCAAAGTTACTTAGATCAGTGCCTTTTCCCACCATCACCTTCAGGGAGGTTATTTCATTCATCTGCTATACAATCGGACTTTTTTTGTTATAGTCGGCCTCTCTCTGAGAACCCTCCAACATCCTCAATAATTGTATTTAATGGAAGGGCCACTCTGTGGTTTAAAGTTTTATGTTTTTCAAAAATGTATAAGGACATGTATTCACCATTACAGTCTCATACAAAATAGTTTCATCAATCTAAAAATCATATGAACTTCACCTATTCAACTAGTGAAGAAATGATTTGTAAAGGGACAGAGTAAATATTTTAAGCTTTTATGATCATGTGATCTTTGTCCTAATTGCCACTACAGCATGTTCTTGAATAATTTCATTTCATTCAACATAGTTTTATGAAGTGGATGAGATGCCATAGAAACTTAACTCTTGTTTTCATCAATTAGCCTAAGGTTAAAATTGGTTTCAATATATGTTGTTTCTGTAAAAGTTTCAAAACCTATCAATGATGTTAAATGAGGACTTACTGTATAGGGCAAAAGCTTCCATAAATTGATGGATAAGGTGGCACTCCAATCAGATTTTATTTTTTTAATATATTTTATTGATTTTTTTACTGAGTACTATAGGTTGTCCCATAGACCTGGCATGTTCATATTCTGTGTGATTGATCAAGAGTCTCCTGCACACCTCCTACTGGGGATGTGCCCGCAACCAAGGTACATGCCCTTGACTGGAATCGAACTTGGGACTTACTGTATAGGGCAAAAGCTTCCGTAAATTGATAGATAAGGTGACACTCAAATCAGATTTTATTCACAGAAAGAAGCCTCAAGCTGGTGTGGTCTGAGTACTATAGGTTGTCCCATAGACCTGACATGTTCATATTCTGTGTGATTGATCAAGAGTAACAATAGACTCTATAGGTGCAAAATAACATGTAGCCATTTAGTAAAATATTCAGGTTTTGAACTAGATTTATGACCTGGATCCAACGTTATTCATTGTGTACCAGTCTGTGTGGATATTTTCTCTAGTGTCATTACACTGTCCTTTATTTCCCAAGTTGACCAATGCCCTTCATAGTGTGACAGATTATATATCCTATTGAAAGTCCCTGCTGCTTTTCTAATTATATGTTTTTCCTTGAAGTTCTCTAATTGTATTTTTATGACACTACTGACTTCTGGATGTATGTTCAATTTTCTTACTTGACCTATTTACATCCATTGTGATGTTACCTGTACTTGGAAACCCTTGCACTGTTACCTGATAATATTACTATCGTTCTTTAAGACTGAACTTAGTTTTTCCTTGGTATCTCTTTAAACATGTTTAATTACTTTTTTTCTCAGACAGAGTATTATTTTGGTGTTCCATAATTATTTACACATTTAAAAAACTATAGTATATTACACTTATCTTTTTCTACATTTTCTACAATAGTTGCTGGATTATTTTTCTTTTCACTTAATTCCTTTACTTTTCCTACTCACTTTGTTTTTCATATGTTTTTACCATATATCTGACTTTTAATAAATACTGTATGACACTACTGCTTCTCTCTTGCTGATTTCAGTGACTTGGTAAGATAAGAAATTTAGTAGGATAATTTGGGTGAGTGAATAAGAGCAAAATGCTCACTTTTGGATATGTTAAATAAAGAAATAGGGTCTCTGGGTGGAGATAACTAGTCAGGAACTCAATTTAGACACCTGGAAAAATACCTTTGCTAATTTATTTTCATATTTCCCATGCCTATCATGGCATTGATACTGGTACATATGAAAGAAGGCTTTGTTGACCATTGTGATACTTGTGTTCCATTCATTCTCTCATTTAATCCTTACTCTGATTTTATAAAGTATAAAAAAATATTTTTTTTACATTCAATCTATGGTAAAAATCACAATTTACAAACTTAAAAATAAAATTCACCAGCTATTAGTGATGGAATCAATATTTGAACTTGACTTTTCTCTCCCTACATCTCTAGCTCTAAAATATCTGATAAGGCCTCTCAAGAAATAATCATTGAGGAAATGAATGAATTATATTAGTGTAAGGAAACACACTGCTATATAAAGCATATAAAAGTTAAATGGATACATATATAGTCAACAACAAACAAGAATATTTCCATAGCAAAAAAATAAAAACACACACAAAGAAATCACACACATAAAAAGACAGGTTTGAGGAATTAATTTATTTGAACACACACTAATGTTCTTTAAGTATTTGAAAAACACATATCAACTCTGGTCAAAATCATCAATTTCCAACTCAGTGAACTCTCACCCAATGAAATGAGCAAAATGTAAAAGGATATAATCCACAGATCATTTATACAGACGCCCAAAGTAGATTCCCCTGTGCTCCATACAAAATAAAATTAATATTATTAATTAAGAAAATAATTGTTTTCAAATGGAGCACTTAATGAATGTGACCAATAATTTATATCCTTCAAAAGGTATTGATTTCAGTAAGTAGGATTTTGTGTCTCTGGAAATTTCACATAAATTTTGAAATCATAGTAATAGTGATAAAAAGCTACTTTGACTGGACATTTATCAAGTAAGATAGAAGTAATCCCTGAAAATTATAATAAGGGGTTAAGGGAGATTAGAGAAAATCTACCACAATATCTAAAAAAAAATCAGATGTAGGAGAATAAAATATATTTTAAAAGAGTATTCGATATTCTTAAAGTGAATAAGTGTAAGACTTCCATCATGCTAGACAATATTGCAAGGTAAAAAGCATGTTTTCTGAAGCTAGAGTCCCTGGTTCAAATGCTACATTACTACTTCCTTGTGCCAGTTATATAACCCCTCTGTCTCAGTTTACTAATTGATACAGTGAGTATAATAAACACCGATCTCACTGTATAGTTTTTTGACTGAAGATGTAAATATGTGTAAAGTGTTCAGTAAACAAGCAAATACACAGTGATCATCATTTGAAAATTAAGTCATTATTACTATAATAAATCAAAAGAAACTTGAGAATAATCATTTTTACTTGAGAACTTTTAAACAGAGCATGGAACAAATAACAATGAAAACACACACCTGTTTGTATAAAATGCATTGTCCAGTGTATTGAGAAGCTTTAAATTGTGACAATAATTAGCCTAGTCATTCCACATTGAGGATATTGAAATGTTGTCAATAAATATAGAATCCTATATACTAAAGAGGTAATATGCAAACTGACCATCACTCCAACACACAAGATGGCTGCCCCCATTGGGACACAGGATGGCCACCACAAGATGGCCTGCAGGGGAGGGCTGTTGTGGGGGACCCAGGCCGGCAGGTGAGGGCAGTTAGGGGTGACCAGGCCAGCAGGGGAGGGCAGCTAAGGGCAATCGGGCTGGCATGGGAGCAGTTAGACATCAATCAGGCTGGCAGGGGAGTGGTTAGGGGGTGATTAGGCTGGCAGGCAGAAACGGTTAGGGGCAATTAGGCAGGAAGGCAGTGAGCAATTGGGAGCCTTTAATACAGTTCTTCATGTTGTGGTGAAGCCCCAACCATAAAATTATTTTCGTTGCCACTTCATAACTGTAATTTTCTACTGTTATGAATCATAATGTAAGTATCTGATATGCAGGATGTATTTAGGCAACCCATGTGAAAGGGTC